CATTCATTCATTCATTCATTCATTCATTCATTCATTCATTCATTCATATAAAGTCATTTCTCTCTTATGAACACCGGCCTAATTCCAGATTAGGAATCAGAGATGGAACGGAGAGTCAGGCTAGCATATGTTCATAACTGAGAAGAAGCCTCATCTCTGCATTGCATCCTCTTCTATCAAGAATCTTGACTTAGATACCGTACCTATATTGGCCTTGATTCTCTGGAATAATTGAACAGATAGACACAATGTTAAGCTCCCTGTATAAAAAATATTTAGGTCTTTAAAATAAATTGGTTACATTTCCATCCTAAATAAACCAGAAGCTAGTAAAGGCTGAGCTTCATTAAATTAAAATGCTAAAAAAATAGGGATGAGTCACCTATAACTTTCAATAGAAATCTGGATCAGTATTCTGAACCAACCAGACTTTTCAAACATTCTTCAAAAAGTCCATGTAGAATAGATTACTGTAAGGCTACGTAAAAAAACAAAATTTATAGTAACAGTATCAAAATCATTGCTTTCAAAAAAATAAATAAAAGCCAACTCTAGGAACATTAAGTAAAGTTATTTAAAGTCACTTTTTTTTGAGATTGTGAAGACTGTATCAAGATACACAACACACATACACACAAAATCATACATATGCTACAACACAGAAATGCATCCCAAAATAATATTGTGAAGATGACCCACTATAATATTACAGTATGCCTGTATGAAAGTTTCCTTGCAAATTATATAACTGAACAGTAAATCTCCCATTTTACTTCAGAACATTTAATCGCCATACCTATCACGAGTTTACAGAACATCATCTGACATACTTTCATTTTATGTACTATTCTTTGCAACAACATCTGAATAACTGATTCTGTTCTTAATTAACAGTGCTATATTTGTTTTTAGGATTACAGCTTGACTGTCACAGACACTATTCTCTTGGTTGTATCTTACTATACTGGGGAGAAGTGGACAGAGGTTCATAATCAGAGAATAGAACCATTTAAGATCAGTAAGTTGAAAATGTCTGGTTTGAGATATTTGATACTCTGCCATGTGCTAGTTCACTAAATTGTATGATATATTTTTCTGTTTTCCATTCCTATGATTCCATGTGCTATATTTCATGTAGCCAAAATAGCATTATGCAATGGAAATTAAGTTCCGCCCAGAGAAAAAGTATAGCAGTCATTGTAACATATAGGCAACAGCTGTTATCTTTATTTTAGCTATCATTGAGAGACATTCAACCAGTTAAATACAGTCTTTGCTAAACCGGTAGTGGAAACTCAAAGATAATGATAGCTTTGGACTGAAATAATGAATAATGATGTGAAGAAGAAGAAAAAGGAAACACAAGTAGGTCATAATTTAGTACTATAATGAATGCTTGTAGCTTCTCAAAGCAACTGAAACACTCATCCAAACCCACAGCTCAAATGATCATTCTGCCAGGATCATTGATGAAATGAAATAATGAGCACTGTGAATTTTGTGCTGAATCAGATTAGACTCAGCATAACTATTGCTGTTTCCCAAGTTATGGAAAGGACTTGAGACCACCATTATTTTTTTCACGAAGGAATACCAGTTATACAGGCATTAAATAACCTTCCAATTCTGAGGTCCTTCAGATATATTACACTTACAGCTCCTTCAGAAATCCAGCCAACATGGTTAAAAGCCATGTGAGTGGAACTGTGAAAGTTATAGTTGCAACATAATTAGAGGGTGCCAAGCAAGGAAAGTTGCACTTTAGCAAAGGAAAGTACTTGATACACTCATGATTAGATCAAAGTCCACTTGCTAACTGTCTATCCAAATTTCAGTAAAACTTGCCAAATGTATGTCTTCCTTTAATATTTGTTTTTAACTGATCTGGCATCAAGATAATAGTGCAGGGACTACACAATCCATATTGTTCTCATAGTATTAAGACCAGGAACAAGCTCAATTTATCTCTTATCTTCTAATTTCAAATTCTATCATCTCCCACTGTCCTTATCTTTGTGGGCTACTCATCATAATGACCATACTATGTTGCCTAGGTGGTAGATCTTATCTAGAGGCATCCAGTAATAATTCTGTTAACTTCATTCAGAGCAGTGGTGCTATTCTACCAGTTTGGCCTGGTTCTGGCATACTGGTAGCACTGAAGATCAGCAGAGACCAAACCGGTTCTCTCTGAGGAGATGCTGTTGGGACCACCCCCCTGCCCGGGATCCCATACTGACGTTTATTCCCTGCTTTTTTTTTTTTTTTGAAAATTTTATTTGGGTTTTCACACACACACAAAAAATACAAATAAAACATCTTTTTTTGAAAATAGCATGGTCCCGGGTTATCCCTTCTTCATACAGACACAAACTCAATTTCATGCTCATTTTTGTGTTCTATCTTATTACTGTTTTACATTTTCTACATAGTTTTTCCCCTCTTGTAATTTTCTCAACTTTATTTTTGATTATCTCATCTCAATTCAAATCATTATATTTATACTTTTGTCTGTCCTGTTTCAATTTCATATTATCTTGTCTCATTAAACAAATTTTCCCCTGTAGTTACTAATTGGAGTATGACACCTTTATATCTTTTAATTTTATCCATTCAACTCTTATTTAAGCTTCAATGTATACCTTTAAGATTATAGCATTCAATATAATACATAACTTCCAATCGAATTCTGCTTGGTACATTCTTAAAATACA